AGGAAGAAACATCAATGGCAGCGTCGGGTGCAAGAAAACACCGTACTCCCAGATCCCTTCTCCCAGAAAGGACCCCGCAACACTATTACCCCCACCAAGACATGGCCTATGCTCCTCATCCATACACGGTCATGAATGCTCAACCTATATCGGCCACAACAACAAGCCAACCGGAACCAAGCTCCATTTCCTAGAAACCAGCCTCCTTACCAAAACCACTACAACCTCCGTCCTCCACAAAATAATTTTCCCCCTCGTGAACCACCTAGAAGGCCAAATTTTACACCAATCGGCGAATCCTACTCCAGTCTGTTTCCAAAGCTTGTCCAAATGGGTCTGCTACAGCCGGTTCCTCAAACTAGGCAAAACCCAACATCACCCTCTTACAGAGCTGGTGCCCGATGTGCCTATCACTCAGGGGCGGAAGGGCACGACACAGATGATTGCTGGACTGTGAAGAGAGCAGTGGAGAACTTAGTAGAACAAAGGAAGATAGTGCTAAGGGATGAAGATATTCCCAATGTGACCAACAACCCACTGCCAGCCCACAACAACGGGCCGGTAATCAGAATGATTTGTGAGGACAAGGAATTTGACCCAGCGATGAAGGCCATCATTGCCATCGCTGATGTGGAAAGGAAACCAAAAGCTGCCCCAAAGCAAGACAAAGGGGAGAAAAAGAACAAAACCACCCCTCCAAAGTCGGAGAAGAAAATTGAAGTTGAAACTGGGGCAATGCCTCCCAAAGATGCTGTTCTCTATGTCCCTTGAGGCCGCAAAGAAAAGCGGATGACTTTGAGTCCTCCCAGGAGATTCCAGCTGAACAAGACAACCCAAATGTATGTGCCCAAGGGAGCTTATGTGATGCGGGGGCCAATTAATCCACCAAGGCTGAGTGAGCCCATGGTTATTGGCCGCGCGCCACAGAAGCCTATGACAGATCCTGCCGCTGTGCCCTGGAATTACAACAAATCAGTGGTGACCTATAAGGGCAAAGAAATCTCAGGAGAAGTTCAAGAAAATAACCTAGCTAAAAAGTATTTCATTTTGGAAGAGGTGAACAATGCCACTAGAAAGCGCTTCCCCTCTAAGAAGCCCGTGAGTGCTGAAGAAGCGGAAGCCTTCTTTCAAAAGATGAAAATGGCGGATTATGAGGCGATTGACCAGCGTCGAAAATCTCCCGAACAAGTCTCCTTATTATCTCTGTTGATGAGCTCCACCGAACATCAGAAGGTATTGATCAAAACCCTTAACGAAGCATATGTGCATGTCGAGACTTCTGTAGAGCAGTTGGAGAGAATGGCAGAAAGATTTTTCGCAATTAACTAGATCTCCTTCAGCCAAAATGACTTGCCTCCAGAAGGGTCCGCACATAACAAAGCCCTCCACCTAACAGTCAAATGCGAAGGGTACTACGTGAAAAGGGTTATGGTGGACGGAGGCTCTGGGGTGGACATCTGCCCACTCTCAACTCTACAGCGCATGGAAATCGGGACCGAAAGAATCCGACCCAACAATGTCTGCGTATGAGCCTTCGATGGTATAAAAAGGGACACAATTGGAGAGATCGATCTAATTCTGACCATCGACCCAGTAGACTTTGAAGTAACCTTCCAGGTTCTAGGCATGGACACATCCTACAACTTTCTTTTGGGGAGGCTATGGATCCATGCAGCGGGGGCTGTGCCCTCTACTCTTCATCAGATGGTAAAGTTTGAGCATGAGGATCAAGAGATCGTGGTCCACGGGGAAGACGAGCAATCAATTTATCGGGACCCATCAGTCCCATGTCTTGAAGCAAGAGAGGGGAGTGAGCACATAGTTTATCAAGCCTTTGAAGTTGTGGTTGCAGACCAGTACGAAGAAGGAAACCCTTGCCCCCAACCCTTCCTTTCCAATGCATCAATCATGGTGGCCAAAGAAATGATCCGACATGGCTTCAAACCGGGGAAGTGACTTGGGAAATCCTTGCAAGGAATAGCTGAACCCATTACCCTGCCTGCCACTGAAAAGTTCTTCGGGGTAGGCTTCCGACCCACTCCAGCTGATATAAAATGGGCAGACAATAGAAAGAATGATGGATGGGTTTAGCCTCAACCGCTGCCGCATCTGTACAGAACATTTGTCAAGCCGAAATACAATGAAGAGGAGGAGGATGAGACTTTTACAGCCGAAGAGATTGAAGAGATCTGTGGGGCAATGAGGAAAATATTGTATGAAACCCATACGGTCCAGCCGGGGGAAGGCCCAAGCACCGCTGAGGTGCTATACATGGGACCTGAGGCAAAACTGCAAAATTGGAAGGCTACGCCATTCCTAATCAGGAGGGAGTCCCGGTAGACTTGTCCTGCCACCTTTTCCGCATCACGAGTTATTCTAGGGTGTAACTCGGATGTTTTCTTTAGTTTCATGTCTTTTAGTTTCCAATGTAAACCCTGTTATCTTCCAAATTCAATGAAATGAAATCAATATTTCATCGTCCATTTTTCTTTATTCCTTCTGATTTTTGTTATTTTTATTTTCTCTTCTTTCAGTTCTAATAATGCGGCTTTAAATAACATGACATGCTTGCGGACTTCACGCCCAGATCCATACACGCTGTCTAACTGTGAAATAATGAACCAAGAACCGGAATACGATGAAGAAGAGGCTTTTAGGGAAATAAATCGAGAATTGAAATAATTTGAGAATAAACCCAAGCCAAACTTAAATGATACCGAGCCGGTTAATTTGGGCAGTTCTGAAGAAATCAGGGAAACCAAGATAAACATTCACACAGATGAGAAAACCCGGGATGCATTAATCCAACTCTTGTTTGAGTTCAAAGATGTGTTTGCTTGGTCATATGACGACATGCCAGGACTGAGTGTCGATTTGGTGGTTCATAAGTTGCCAACTTACCCCGATTACCCCCCTGTCCAGCAAAAGTAGAGAAAGTTTAAAACTGACATCAATGATAAAATCAAAGAAGAAGTCACAAAACAGTTGAAAGCAGGGGTGATCCAAGTGGTCCGGTACACCACATGGCTAGCCAATGTAGTTCCAATACCGAAGAAAGATGGGAAGACCCGAGTGTGTGTGGATTACAGAGATTTAAACAAGGCAAGCCCCAAAGATAATTTCCCTTTGCCAAACATCCACATCCTTGTTGATAACTGCGCCAAACATGAGATACAGTCCTTCGTGGATTGTTACGCAGGATATCACCAGGTGTTGATGGATGAAGAAGATGCAGAGAAAATAGCTTTTATCATACCTTGGGGTACATACTGTTACAGAGTCATGCCATTTGGTCTGAAGAATGCTGGGGCAACCTACATGAGGGCCATGACCGCCATTTTCCATGATATAATGCACCAAGAAATAGAGGTGTATGTGGACGACGTGATCATCAAGTCCAAAACCCAGGATGACCATGTTCGAGACCTGAGAAAATTCTTTGAGCGGTTGCGCAGATATGATTTGAAGCTGAACCCAGCCAAATGTGTGTTTGGAGTCCCATCGGGCAAACTTTTGGGCTTTATAGTCAGCCGGAGAGGTGTTGAGTTAGATCCAACAAAGATAAAATCTATCCGGGATTTGCCTCCTCCGAAAACCAAGAAAGATGTGATGAGTTTTCTGGGCAGATTAAACTATATCAGTCGGTTCATTGCTCAGTTGACATCCACGTGTGAACCCATATTCAAATTGCTGAAGAAAGATGTGGCGATCAAGTGGACGGATGAATGTCAAGAAGCTTTTGATAAGATCAAGGAATATCTGTCAAATCCGCCAGTCTTGGTCCTACCGGAGCCAGGGAGGCCTCTGTTCTTGTACTTGATAGTCTTGGAAAACTCTTTTGCCTGTGTTCTCGGGCAACATGATGTAACCGGAAAGAAAGAGCATGCAATCTACTATCTGAGCAAGAAGTTCACCAGCTATGAAGCTAAGTATACTCTGTTGGAAAGAACCAGTTGTGCCTTAACTTGGGTCGCCCCGAAGCTGAGACACTATCTGCAAGCCTACACCACTTACCTTATAACCAGGTTGGATCCTTTGAAATACATATTCCAGAAACCAATGCCCATGGGGAGATTAGCGAAATGGCAGATTCTGCTCACTAAATTTGACATAGTCTATGTCACTCGCACGGTAATAAAAGCCCAGGCGTTGGCAGATCATTTGTCTGAAAACCCGGTTGACGATGAGTACCAACCTTTGAACACTTACTTCCCAGATGAGGAGGTAAACTCAGTCGAGGCAATATTCGAGGATACTACTGCTTGGAAGATGTTCTTCGATGGAACGGTAAATGCAAAAGGCATGGGAATTGGAGCAGTCTTTATCTCACCTACCGGACAGCATTACCCAGCCACAGCCCGTCTTCGGTTCTTCTGCACAAACAACACTGCCGAGTATGAAGCCTGCATCATGGGTATAAACATGGCAATCGACCAGGACGTCGAAGAGTTGCTGATCATGGGAGACTCAGATCTGATTATCTGGCAAGCCCAGAGAGAATGGGAAACCCGAGATGTTAAGCTTATCCCTTACAGGCAGCATGTGGAAGACCTCAGCAAGCGATTCAAATCGATAGAGTTCAGGTACATCCCTCGTTGTCACAACGAATTGGCTGATGCACTTGCTACTTTGGCCTCAATGCTGCCGTACCTAGGCAATGCTCACATAGATCCCTTGGAAATCCAAATCCAGGAAAGGCATGGTTATTGTAATACAGTTGAAGCAGAACCAAATACCCAACCATGGTACCATGACATCAAAAGATTTTTGAAAACTAAAGAATACCCCGAGCAAGCCGCTGGAGACCAAAAGAGAACCATTAGACGGACGCGAGTGGTTTCTTTTTAAGTGGTGATGTTTTGTACAAAAGGACCCCAGATCTCAACTTGCTAAGATGTGTTGACGTCAAAGAGGCCGGAAGGATCATGCATGAAGTACACGCAGGAGTGTGTGGACCCCACATGAACGGGCATATTTTGGCAAAGAAAATCTTCCGAGCAGGCTACTACTGGATAACCATGGAAAAAGACTGTTTCAGCTTTGTTCGGAAGTGTCATCAGTGTCAGGTGCACGGTGATTTGATTCATGTACCCCCCACAGAACTGCATCCCATGTCAGCGCCTTGGCCATTTGTTGCTTGGGGCATGGACGTCATTGGGCCAATTGAGCCGAAAGCCTCAAATGGACACAAATTCATACTGATCGCCATTGACGACTTCACAAAATGTGTTGATGCCATCACTCTCAAATTTGTCACCAAGAAAGCTGTGGTAGATTTCGTGCACTCCAATCTTATCTGTCGTTTTGGTATTCCCGCAACGATCATCACAGATAATGCTGCAAACCTGAATAGTCGTTTGATGGAAGAGATATACGAACAATTCAAAATAACGCATAGGAACTCTACTCCTTATCGGCCTAAAGCCAATGCTGCCGTAGAAGCAGCAAACAAGAACA